CCCCCAAAACCCCAAAACCCCAAAACCCCAGAGTACCTTGCCGCCCTGGAAACAGTGTTAATAAATTGTTAAAATAAGTTTTAGAGGCTGTTTAGGGCCTTTTAGAGTACATTTTAGTACTGAAATTTCCTTCCACTCCTGGCCTTCTTATGGCATGCTAGATTAGTTAGACAAGCAATGAAGAGAATGTACCTAATATGCTTGATATATGGCTCTGATAGTTGTCTATTCTTCCTATGACGGTCAGAGGAGTAATGCCTTACGAGGAAACGCATCCGTCCATTTAAAGGTGATTTGACTACCCTAAAGATTCTTAAGAAAAATTCTGGAAAGGGCTGGAATGGGCCTTTTGAAAATTGGCCAATTAATACTTCGCCCACGGAGACAATTGATGATGGTCACCTACTACAGTGGTAATATTAGTAACATCTAAAAATATTAAGTAAACAGACGTACTGATAGCTTTAGTTGATTTTTTCTCAGTCATCCCTGAATTTGCTATTTTAAACATCCCAGATGCCTTAGAGGTACTCTTGAAGGGAGTGGAGGCTCCATAGTGAGTGACTTCATCCTTAGCCATTCTTTGAGAGGTCATCTTGCTCTTTCTTCTACTCTGTCTTGTTACTTTAGATCTAGAGGTTACACTAAAGGACTTACAGGAGGCAAGAGTTGGCCTTGGACTGGCCTGAGATAGGGAAAATCATCCGATTCTCGATGGAACTAACACGAGGATAAGCCTGGTTGTTTTCTTCTTGGGTAATCTCCCTGATGTCACTCAATCTTCTGATTTTAGTCTTCTTCTTTTTCTTCATTAATGATCTATGATTCACACTGGATGTATGCTTCTGGTTACTTTGGAGTGGATCATTTTCCTTAAATATATCAGCATGATCAATTAGCTGAGAGTCATGGAACTTAGCACCTGAGTTCCGGCGACCAAGGTTTTTATTTAGCTGATGCTCAAGATGAGAAAGCTCAGAGATCTTAGTCCTTTGCCTGATTGGCTTTAAGGGCTTCAACTTCTTCATACCATCTTTGTGCAATAGATCATCTTTGCTGGTATTCGCACTGAAAAGCTTTTTCTTAATACCTTTGTTCGTCTTTATCCTAAACCCCTTGTTCTTGATCGTAGTGTTGTTGGTATGCTTCTCCTTCTTGTTGGTGTGTAAGTAAGATATTGGGGAAGAGTTTCCTTTGAAAACTAGAGGAATTAGAATTTACTCAATGGTATACTTACTTAGCTTCATTTTCCTTCCTGAGCGGCTTTTACCCACATCAACAGTCTCTTTGCTCTTATTTACTGTTTTGAGGTACTCTTTCTCTCATCTTTTGGGTATAATAGCTCTATATAAAGATAAATCTGTCAAGAGTAATCGTATACTTACTCAAATTCTTCATTCTGCTCTTCCTGGAGAACTTTATCTTCAATCATGCTCATGGCAAATGCCATTTGAGTAGCAAATTTGAGCTTTTCATAAGCTTTCATGTTGAGTTGCATTTCTTCAAAAACATTTAGAGGGACCTTAGCCTGAAGATCCCTGGTGATCCAGGGATGCTTCAGTGCTCTCTGAGAGCTATATCTCAGATTTGGATTGACATTCAACAGATTTTTCAGCATTTTGTACGCCATTGGTGAAAACAATGAACTGTCTAGATCAATTGTGTCACTTGTGTAAAGACTAATGACATGCTTCCTAAACTCCTCAACGTTCATGTCGAGCTTGTTGTAGAAGTCAATGCCTAGGAATGGATGACCCCCTTTTGTTAGAAGTTCATACATGATCATACCAGTTGCCCAGATATCTACCTTTTTCCCATATGTAACTGACTTCATTTGTTCAGGGGCCTGGTAGATGAGGGTTCCTACATTATCGTTGTTCTGGTCAAATAGCCCAGTTCCACGCTCATTAGCGAATCCAAAATCACAGATCTTGATAGAGTCAAGGTCGTTTCTCTTTGCAAAGAGAACATTCGCAGGCTTAAGATCTCTATGAAGGATCTCGAATCGATCATGTATATAGGAAATGCCATGGAGGATATTTTTGATGATCACAGAGCACTCTTCATCATGTTTCTCTTGGGACTTGTTCTTGATTGCCCTTTGCTCTTTGATCCATTCCTGAAGATTTCCTCCAGTGCAAAGTTCCATCCCAAGGAGTAGATAATTTGAATATTCCTTGAAGAATTTGAAGCCAATAATGTTCTGAGGAGGAGCAGTTACCCTAGCACTTTTTCTTTTCATTATGAAATCTTTCCTCTCTGGAGATCCTGCAGAACTCGGGCTGTTACCTTTATGTAAATTTCGTAGTGTTTCTGCTTCCTTCCTGAACAACTTCGCGATTAAGTCTGAAGAGTGGTCCAAATTGAGCATTTTAATCGCGATTTCTTCACCTGTCTCTTTATCGAGGGCAGAAATGACAACTCCAAAGGCACCAATACCAACTATGGCTCTATACTCAAATAGCTCTGAGAAGTCATCTCCAGATCCGTCTTGATATTGGAAGAAGATCTGGTCGATTTGGCTGACGCCAAACATTTCTTCAATCTTTCCAGAATATTTTTCTGAATTTGTATCTTGGTTTGTTCCAGTTCATTTTTGAATAAATTCATAAAATTCTCCTGATAAAATATGGGTTTCTTGGAGGTCATTTTTAGTGCTATTTGAGCCTAGATTCACAGTTAGAGGCTAATCGAGCATGGCATGACCAACTTGGAAGATAAGTGACGAGTGGTGATTAGCTATAAGCTGTAACATATGAACTAATATGCCTTAAAAACTCGCCTAAAATTGCTAAGAATATCCTAAAATACAAATAATTTCTCCTTTGGAGCTTAAATTTAACCCAAGGTGGTTCGTCTCGGTCAAAAACTTGCTTAAAATTGATATTTAAGAGTGTATGTAGCTGCTAATGGTGCCCAGAACCTCTAAGGAATGTGAATTAATGTGCCTATTTCAGAATCTTTAATAATAAAGTAACAATAATACTGATTCCCAGCTAAAAAGTATGCCTGACTTTATTTCATCTAAGAAATATCTAGACGCAAAGATGTGTATCTTATACAAAAATTGCGGTTGAGCTTACCCAGAACAGCACAACTCGAATCCTTGATGCAATTCAACACCAAATTAACATCTCTGATCAAGGTAGAGGTCTTAAGAATTCAGGTTTCACTCTTCATAAAAACTGGCTGTAAAATATTTCAGAATTAATGTTTTACGAAAAAGATGATGCCGGGCGAAGTTTCCAGTGAACAGTACGATAACCTCTGAATGACCTAATTCAACCATTTAGAAAATTTAGGAGTCATTATAAGCCGCTAAGGTGTCTTCTTGGGCAACTTTTAGATAAGCCAGAATTTCATAAATTACTCGAAAATTTCAAAACATATTCATGAAGCCAGTTAATAATTTTCTGGAGAATTTCGGTAAGATCCAGGAATGGGAGAATTTGATTCCCAATAATTTTAAGCATGAATTTTGGGAGCTGACAATGCTCCTTCTGTGGCATCTAACTAGGCTGTAAATTTTCAACTCGATGATGGCCTTCTCAATTAATTTTAAGGGCAAATTTTGTGAAGCTCAGCACAGCTAAAGCTCAATTCCTTGTGCACTTTGGGGTTAGAGTAGAAACTAATAGCCTTCAGAATTAATTTTAGCTAAGTCACGGTAAAGTTAGGGCTTCCGAAAGCATTGATTAGCTTAATTTTTGCTAAAGCAAACATAGGACTTCATTATGAAAAATTCAGAGATTTCCCGACTTTTAATCTACTTTAATATCTAGTGACAAACCCAGAAAAAGATAGGATATTCAGAGACTGCAGCCTAAGAGTGATAGTATACTGAGGCATTCTAACAGTACTAAACATGAAGCATGCAGGAAGGGGTAAGGTATGACCTAGCTTGTATGCAAACAGTCGTTGATAGACTTCTGAGTAGTAGGAAGCCAACTAGACAACCACTTATGCATAACTCGTCCCTTGAGAAACTATCAAACTTCTTACCGTACTGACTTGGGCTGGTGTCCATTTCCTCATGTCCTGGGATCTATAGCCTTAGGTTAGACATTTTCAGGGTGCAAAATCACAATAGTATAAGCTAAAGAGCATTAATAGTCTTTTTGGTAGTTCCAAGACATCATTCACATTTTAGTAACCAGCAACATTAATAAAGATTTAATTATTAGAACACCTTTGAAAAATTCTGAATCAGAGAGTCCTCAGTCAGGTCTCTGTTTCTGTTACAAACCTCTTGAAAACTCATGAGAGGAGGGTATAGGAACAACTAACTGTCTAATAAAGTTTTAGAGAATAAAAAGTTGACATATTTAGTTTTAAGCAACTTCTTAATGAGCTTCCTAGGCATGCCAGGCCTCAGTGTGAATAGTCTGTGCTGTTGGAACATTTTGGGCAAAATTCATAATCTAACGCTTAGATTAATATGGCCCTAGTTTACGCTATGAGTACAAATACTCCATATTGGTGGGTGAACACCTGCATAAGCATATCAATGGGCGTAGAGAACCTCTCGATATCTTGGGCGGGCATAATGAACCTTATTCGTCCTGCTTTTCAGCATCAAAGTATGTGTGAGGCTTACCTTTGGTCCAACATTGGTGAATTTCTTCATCTTTACTTAATTTTATAATTATTTCCTTGTCTTCTTCTTCTCAATTATACTGCTTAGTAACGGGGTTTTGGGGTTTTGGGGTTTTGGGGTTTTGGGGTTTTGGGGTTTTGGGG